CCAACATATTAACATATGTTGATTGGCAGTATGTAGTGGCGTATCTAGAAAAACAGGGAAACAAGCGAGTTAATTGCATTTTGATAAGAAAACAAATATAATTCTATCGTATAGTTTTCACCAAATGACTGTTTTTACAAAGCTGTAAAAATAAACACGAATTCTGCAAGCGTCATATACTTTCCGAAAAGTACGATATCATTGGAAGGAATATTAAAATTCCTGAAAGCTAAAGTTAAATTTTTTTTGGTTTCAATATCCACCGAAAGAAAATTACATATCTGAATTAATCGACCACTAAAGAATTTTAGTATCTATAAAATCAAAAATACAGGACTCTTACTCATTCGGAGTGACGATACGATGTACGATTATACACGCAAATCGTCTATTTTGCGGTAATACAAAATACAGAAAATCAATTGCTAAGGATTTTGAATTTGGAAAAGGCCAGCATTATGCCAAAAAAAATTTCCACATAATTTGACCGGATCTTTGGTATAACAATACGAAGTCGACTAATTTTGGAAAATTTGATAGTGCAAAAAAGGATTGCTCCAAGTAAAGCTATGCTTAGTGTATTTAGTGGGACTTTAGATAATAGATCTATGCAACTTGTCACTATGTAACAGATAAATAAATTAGATAACGCAAGTCGGGAAAAGTGACCAAAATATATCAACATTGAGGGTATTGTCTTTCTTTACGAACTCAGCAAAAGTAAAATAAACTTAGTCGCAAAGTTTTGTCGTAGTAATTATGTAGACTATATCTTGCTTTATCTGAATGCTATTTGTTTTAATTTATTTGAAACTCTTAATAGTGTAAAGTGTTGTATTCCGTAAAAACCTGCGAAAAGAGCTTATTGAAATTTTTATAACATGAGTAGCAAAAACTCAATGAGAATGTGATTGTGGGTATGTTTAATAAATTGTCTAAAGTTATCGAACTGAACTAGTCATATATTAATTGATTAATGCAATAACAATATCATTCAAAATACAATATTGTTTCTCTATCTTTAAATGTTTTTCTTTATGCTAAAGAAAAAAATTTAAATTAAAACACCGATAAATACATTTGAAATTTTTAAATTATGGAATTTATGTATTTCTTTAGTATTCCATACTTTTCCAGACCTCCCAAAATATATAAAAAATATTGTCTTAAAAAATAAAAAGTTACTAAATGCATTGATATATCATCGGTTTAAATGTTTATAGGAAATATTTTGCAATTGGATTTTGATGATAATTACTTGCTCCCGGATTCAACAAACGATGTTGAATATCGCATTGATTTGGGGAATGATAAAGTAATATATGTGGAAAGATTAAATGATATTGGGGAGTTAAATCAGTTAAATGATGATAATATTCTTAAACTAGACGAACATAATATTGTTGATGAAAGCGGAGAACTGCCTATTATTGTTGAAGAGAAAGCAGCAGAGACAAAACGTGGTCGAAAGAAGATCGACACTGGACCATTTAAATGCGATAAATGTGACTTTGAATGTTTTAAAAAAGATTTATTGTATACACATCGTCATCGTAAACATAAGGTAGACGCACTTCTTAAGTGCCCAAAATGTGAGAGAATATTCAATCAAATTGCAAAATACGAAAGTCATTTAAAGCGCCCAACATGTGACACCTATCCGGAATTTACTTGTGAATACTGTGAGAAACGTTGTATTGGATTAGCTAACTTTAATATACATATGCGATTTCATAAGAAACAATATCCATTTGTATGCCATTTATGCGGTAAAGAATTTATGATGGCGGTACACCTTAGAAATCATATAAAAGTTAAACACGAAAATCAACGCTATTGTTGTGGTTATCCTGGCTGCGACAAACTCTTTCAAACTTCCCACGCACTCCAAACTCATTACTATAGTCATGTGGGTCAATTACCCTTTGAGTGTGAGTACTGTAAGACTGGATTTCCAACAAAGGGCAGGTAAATATGATGCATATACCTTATTCTAAATAAGTTGGACCTAATTAGCTATAATTTTTTACAGATTAAGTTGGCACATTAATAAACGCCATGGCTTTAAAGTTGAAGTTGAGCAACTGGAACGTATGCGTGTTTGCGAAAGTGTTGTAGCGAAGAAGAAAGTAGTAACTATAACCCACGAAGAAATGGAACCAGATCTAGAAGAATATTATTTAGAAATAGATACATAACAAAAACTAAAAACAAAAAAAAATAATATTTAGTACTGAATAAAGAAAAATAAAATATGTGTGTAAAGATTTAACTTTTAAATTAAAATATAAATATTATTTTTACTATATAATATATGAATGCTTTTTGTTTATTGAAGTATACCCGTCAGTTGTTCACAATATTTTAAGAAAATATCGTTCTTGGCCTGAACCCAATCTTGATATATAAAAAATAAAAAGAAAAAATCCTCATCTTCTGCTAAAGAAATTAAAGTCATTAATTGAAAACGTCACAATGCATTTAATTTACTGTACTCAATTATATCAATTGCGAAAAAGATCCCGTTCAATCTCCAATGCAGTCAATTCTTAACTTAGTTCAGTATTCAATAACGACAAAAAAATAAAATAGTGAAGGTAACAGCACCAAAAATTCGGTTATATATAGAGGGAGTAGAATTTCACAAAAAATGTGTGCAGAAAACATAAATATTAAAAAAGTACAGTTTTTTTTCTATTCGTGAGAAATACTTCTTTTTATTTTGAGTTCTTATTAAGGGTCGTAATACTAACATATTGATTCATACCAGTTACAGACAAAGCATAAGTAACCTCAACGTATCAAAATGGTTTTTTATTTACTAATTTATGAGATTTAAATGATCATTTGTGGTAGTTAAATTCACTATTTTTACCACAAATTTAATATGAATTTAATATTAAATTCAGAAAAGAACAAACTACTACTCGAAACTACTAAGAGTCAAAGTATTTGATGAACTCGTTTAAGGAACAATATAACTAGGAGATAAGCTACTCGATGAACGGACCCGTAAACGCTAGAACTATAAAAGAAATCGGAAGCTACGCTACGTTGACATGTCATTGAATCAATCTTCTAGAATTGGCATTCTTTACTGCTTCAAAATATTGCGCTTTTATAGTCTTTTACTACTCGTTTCTTCTATCACATCTCAGTTTTCGATATGCGTTATTGCGCCAGCGATTCTATACACAAAATTTGCCTTAACCTTAACATGACCTTAACAAGGTCTAAAGTCAAAAGTCTATATGTTCAGATAAAGAAACAATAATCTGCAAGTAAAGGGTTTGCTGTTTATGTAAATGGATTATGGCATCTTTTATTTTATTAAAAATAAAAAATGACTACCATACGAAAATGTTACTAAAACACATATCCGAAAATTACAACTGCTTTAAATAATGCATCTTCCCAATTTTATTATTTAGTTTTAGTGACAGTTATGAAATCAACCCGCGCAGAGTAAAAACTCAAATATACTTTCGAAAAGGTAACGATACTTAATAAAAAAATACTACATACTATAACTTTAATTTTAAATACTTTGTCAACTATAGGTTTTTTAAGATCAATATATCTCATGAATATGGTTCTTGAATATTGAATAGTACTCCAAATATTTACATTAAAATGAACCTCAACGCATATCAGTGTACATGACATATTTATAGTAAAATTTTACTAAACGGAGTGAGAATTATATTTATATATATGCTATAATAAAAAAAAACTGCAAGTTAGGTTGGGTTATTCTCTCTGGTTGTAAGCTTCGCATAGGGTTATTGGTTCCTAGCGATATCAGAGAGATTTATATTTATGTAGATTTAATAGTAAACATTCTTACGAATTTAAGAAGTACTTGAAGCTACATATATTCCTAAGACAGGGCTATCAAGGATTTTTTCAAAGATTTTCATAAACGTATTTTCAGTCCATACCACAGATGGAGTTAAACCCACAACTTGGGTATCATAGTTCTAGCATAAATGCACCGTACTATCAGTGTAAGCAATGTTCAAGTTAATGAAATATGTTTTTCTTAATGATCTAAGTACTATATTGAAAAAATTTTTATCATTCATACATAGTGAGGTTTTGATATTGTAAGATAAAATATTTTTTAAAATTAATTAAGTTAATGAAATATGTTTTTCTTAATGATCTAAGTACTATATTGAAAAAATTTTTATCATTCATACATAGTGAGGTTTTCATAATGTAAGATAAAATATTTTTTAAAATTAATTGTTTTTTTTTTGCTCACTCATATCAGCGCCTAATATGTATATTTGTATTTATATCCATATTGCTCATAAAATTTAGTTTTTAACCCTTTTTTTAAAGGATTGTTTTCAGATTTAATTGAAGAAACAAAGTCTATTGCCGCCAGCGATATCACTCTGCCATATAGAGTGCTTACATGTCCACTCACTACAAATATTGATAACGATCAGTTAGAAGATTTACAAAGTAATGAATTGAATGATGTATATAAAGGTGTACTAGTCAAAAATTCACAAAAAAATAAAAACGTTCGCAATGCTATTGAACCTAAAAGAGATAACGTAAAGGTCACCACGGTATATCCACTTTCCATAGTAAAATCACCTCTCGTATTAGAAATACCCAATGAAGTACAAAAAATCAGACGGCATCCTTGTGATATGTGTAATAAAACATTTGGTAACCGTAAAAGTATGATGCTTCATCGACGTACGCATTGTGACTCACAACGTTCAACTTTTGTGTGTCCAGAAGCCAAATGTGGGCGCATATATTCTTCAAAGCAAGCCTGCGATGTACATGTTAAGCAAGTACATCAAAAAGATGGTTTGGTCTGTTCTGTTTGTAATAAGCGATTTGCTATTATACAAACGCTGGAAGTGCATATGCGTTACCATACCGGAGATTTTCCATTCGGCTGTAATCTTTGTGACAAAAAGTTCGCCCAAAAAGGACATCTCACGACGCACATGCAAGTTAAGCACAACAACCTGCGTTATTTTTGCACAGAAAATGGATGCGGAAAAGTTTTTAAAAACAGCGTCTCGTTAAGAAATCATCGTTATGTGCACAGTAGTATGCCTTTCTCTTGTGAATACTGTAAAAAGGGATACCCTCAAAAAGCAAAGTAAGCCCTAAATTATTTTTGTATTACAAAGAGATTGTCTTTAATTAGATTTTTTTTTTTTTATAGATTAAAGACGCATATAAGCTCAAGACATGGTATTAAAAAAACACTGGAGGATTTGGAATCGATGCGTGTGTTTAAAGATGCTCGTACCAGACACTCCTTGTTCGAAATTCAAGCGCAGTTTACAGATGAGACGGAAGGGGATGCTAATAAAATGGGCGACAATAATGAGGAGGACGATTTAATCGTATAGCATTAACCAACCAAATTATTTGTTTAATACGAAAGCTGTACATTACTTTTTTATTTTTAACATGTGAGTACTTAAAATATTTTCATAATTAAAAAAAGCCCGTTACTTATGTTTATCAAATAAATATTATTAGTATTATCGAACCTTATGAAAAGTATGTATTCACTTGATAAATAATAGTGGAGTTAATGGATCGAAAATTATTTACTCTACTGTATGAGATTTACTCAAAAGATCCCAATACTCATATACGGCACATGAAATCTAATGTAATCTGTAAATTTAAATACAAAACATCTGTAGATCAGGTGGTTAAGGTGCGCTTATTCTGAGCTTCACATTTGGCAGGACCCGAGTTCGATTCCTGGTACTTGCAGTCTCAAAAATAATTATTTACGAATAATTAAATACAAGAATTATTTTCAAGACCACTGATGATGGGTATTTGGCAATACTCGAAACAGCTGTATGGTTAGCCGATTATTCAATTAATTAAAATAATATAAAAAATAAAATTTTTGTTGTTATAGTTCACTATTGTTCGAAAAAACCTCCATATAAATTTATAAGAAAAAAAAAATTTTGAATTAAGCTGCAATTTCAAGAAACTCACGAGCAAAAACAAAAATTTTATGCTTACAGTCGTCCACTGCTAATTATTACTGTGCAAACTGCAAACTGTCTTAGTTTATTGTAATTTACTTTGCCTATTCCATTTTTTTATTATGCAATCAATCGATACAATATAAGAGTTTTTATTATTATTATTATAATAATCATCCGTAATATTATTCATTGGCATTACACTCCGTAAAACTTATCCAATCGCATTATATCTTTCCAATCTTGTCAATTTTTTGATTTTTCTTATCAATTACTTACGCTTAAGAAGAACAGGTATACTGTTTACTTTATCTATCCATATTCTGTATAGTCGTTATATACCCTAGTAACTTGTGAGAAAAGTTTACTTTGTGGGCTGTCTATCAATAGTCACGGCATTTCCGTTTATCAACAGATACAGCACATTGTTGTATCTTAATATACACGTCTCATTTTTTCCATCATTTTCTCTTACAAGGGAAACGATTAACTGTACGATTTCTCTTACAAGGGAAACGATTAACTGTACGATTTTTTATAAACCATTAATTTTTAAGTTTCTGCTTTCTTTAAATTTAAACGAATCTTTATATAAGTAAGCTAGCCATCCTTCTCTCTTATATGGGTAGGTCCAGTTAACGGTGGTTTTAATTTTGTTGATCTAGTTAACATTAGTTAGTACAAAGTTCTGAGCAAGATTAATTACTACTAATTGAGAATTTTCTTCTCTAACAAGATTTATGCAATGCCAACAATTCATTTACTTTAATTAATTATTATTAATTTATTGTTTTAATGACCAAAATTTTTATTAATAATTTTGTTGGTCAATTGTTAAATAATACACTTTTTTAAGAAATGAGTTATTAAAAAATTATTAATTTATACTAATATTTCAACTATATTGTGTAATCATCTTCAAAATACTATTTAATTTATTTTAATTTAATTCTTAGGATGATTATATAGCTGTTTTAAATATTGTCAAATATTTATTATCAATATATAGTAGTCTTATTAAATATATAAAGTTTTTATAGTCCGTATATAATTTTTGGACAGCACAAGAAATTAACGTAGCTTAAATTAGAACCGTGGATTCTTGTGTTACCACACAATCCCAAAATGTATATATTTTTTTTTAAATGCATCCCACAGCTTTCTTAGCAAATGATTGAAAATTATGCCACATATATTTGAGAGATACTTCACATTTATTGGGCATAAATGTGTTATGACCAACAGCGTAGTTGCGGTCATTCCTGAGCAGGAATTTGTGGAAGTAGTTGCGGTCGAGGAACAGTCGCACTTTTAAGATAAATTGTTTCACAAGTAGACGGTGGTAGGAGTTCTTAGGTTGATTGAGCCACGAACTTTTATAGCTACAATTGACTTGAAATTGTGATATTAGTTTCGGGAATGGAGAAAATGTTTTTATAACTGTTTATTCAACAGGAGTTTTTCAAATTATATGGTAATTTAGGGTGACAGACATCAATTTTGATCATACAGAAATGTTTGGCTATCAGGGAGCCCTTCCTTGGGGGAGGGTCTAATCATTTTTACTGACGGTTTAAAAACTAGGAGTGGAGCAGGAAGTGAAGTTTTTCTCAAAAGAAAGGTCTAATTATATCCTCTTACTAAACGCTTCCAGATAACTGTAGTGTTTTACAGGCAAAATTGATTGCTATTAAAAAAGCTGTAGCTTATCTAGAAATA